AGAGGCACTTACAAAGACAGATTTAGCTTGGATGTCGCTGGGAAAGGAGAGATAGACAAAGAAGCAGGTAATAATTTAACGTGAAATTAAGGTTAGATTTGAAGAAAAACATACAAGGTTTCCCAGGCTGAAACATATAAGTATAGAAACACACCTCCGACTCGTCGACAGTCCGCGGCCGGTCGTGCCCAGCAAGAGTACCGGCATCCAGCAGGTTCTCCACCGCCACCAGCCGCTCCCTCAGTCCGGTGTTCTCGGTCTGCAGGACTGATAACTCCCGCTTCACACCTGTCAGCTCCTGCTTCACTCCTGTCAGCTCCTGCTTCACACCTGTCAGCTCCTGCTGCATGTTGTGCACCACCACCACCCCCGTCAGCACGCTGATCCCGCACACCAGGGCGGCCAGGACGCCGACCAGCGGCCCGACCAACACGGGGAGACGGTCCCGTCGGGTCGGTCCACCGGACAGGAACGGACTCTGCTTCTCCGCAGTCATTCTTGTTTAGTCGGCCGTTCACTTTAACTCAGTTTTTTTTAACAAACTCTTAGAGCAAGCACGCTGAATTTCAACCTGTCAAGGAAGTAAAAGCTTGCGAGAAAAACCTGCTGCGCGTAACATGCTCTATTTTTAGGCATTGAGCGCTTCTATTCAGTACTTGTCCCCATTGGTTCAGGGTCTTTAACGTCATGTAAATTGATATGTTTACAACCTCAAGACAAATTGAAAGGAACAGCATTCTCATTTGTTGAAAATAAAAACAAAGTCCCATTCACATGGCTTGATTGAAAGCATATCGTTTTAAGCCAAAGTTCATTAGCCTGGAGGGGGGGGGCGGTTGCTTGCAGGAATCCATAATATCAATCTCTCTACCTCAGTTTCTTCTTAACATATTCTTTAAAGTTCTGCTATGTATTGTACACACGCTAGCAAAAGTCTAGGACTGTGCTCTGTTTGTTTGTTTGTTTGTTTCGCATAACCAGTAATCCGACTTTAGGCGTAACACACAAGTTTTGTACATGTACAAACTGCGTAAGACCTGACTGACATTATTGATATTACTATACATCTGAACCACCCAAACAATACACAGTTGAAGTTGACTATGTCGTCAACCACTGGAACTAAAGACGTCAAAAGACATACAAAGATACCAACAGCTGGAGGGGAATTGACTGTTACATGTAGTCACGATTTATTTCAGCTTGAAGCCATCTCAAATCAGGCAAAGCAATAAACTATTATTATATGCAGGACTGAGACTTGATTTCACTACAAGTAGCTTATGGTGTGCTTTTAGCCAACTCACAGCAAATAAAGAAGTCATATGAGTCTTCGATTAACATCCGCGAAACTTAGGGGAATATGATATTGTGGTTACCATACCATTGAATTACACAACATTTCGTCTGGGCTATTTCTAAAGCTTTCGCAAAGTACATGTAGTAACTGCTGCCCCTCACTAAACAGAAATAACAA